CCCCTCAGTCGAGCAGAATACTACCTAGCATGGGGAGAACTCACGCGTCTCCCCCATATTTTCCATGTGTCCCCCCATGCGGGGACACGTCATCAGACAACTACCCACTTTCGAAAGAGTTGGTCAACCCACCTTCTGAAGATTACGGGGCAACTGATCCAAGACGAAGATCACGTGTTAGTTTTCCCTACGCCACGTAAGCCCTAACATTTACTTGTGTTGAGCTTGACAATCCGGCACAATGGAATGTAACTGTTGACCCTGCGCTGGGGAAACATTATAAATACTCTCTTTCACTAGAGGGTCATGTATTTCATTCTCTACACTTATTCTCTCTGTACTTGCGCTTTTTAACTCCATTACTTACTTAAGCATCGGAGTACCTTGCAGGTACACCCCCTCCTCCTCCACAACACCGGTGATCACAAGAGCTCATGACGCGTGACAAACTGCTGATTCGTTTCTGATCATCTAAGATCATATATATATATATATATATATATATATATATATATATATATATATATATATATATATATATATATATATATATATATATATTTTGAGGATCCACTTATTTGAAGAGTAAGTTTTAATAACTTACTCCACAATCATAGGCTTTAAAAATTATAATATGAAGTAAGTTAAAAAACTTACTCTTGTAGTAAGTTGATCCTCATATAAAGATATATATATATATATATATATATATATATATATATATATATATATATATATATATATATATATATATATATATATATATATATATATATATATATATATATATATATATATATATATATATATATATATATATATATATATATATATATATATATATATATATATATATATATATATATATATATATATATATATATATATAATTTAAATTAAATTTAAATTTGGTAATTTACTAATGTTTAACATTTGTTAGAGATTGTAATTTGACTCATCCAATGGACATCCGCAAAGTTATTCATAATAGATAGGTTATAAACTCGCAAAAATGAATACAGATACGAGTTCGAGTAATTACTCACAAAAATAAGCGGGTATGAGTGTGGATATGTGCATCTTAGTACCCACTTCGTCCCATACCCACATAATATAGATTTATTTATTTTAATTTATATTTATGTATTTTAATTTGTTTTATTATATAAAAGTATATGTCTATCAATTTTAAAAACTATATCAATATTAAATCATTACGTATTTAATATAAGTGTTTGTTTGTTTCAACCGTAAATTTTTTTTAAACTTTTTAATATTTTTAAAAACTTAAAATAATATGATATTTTATCATTGACTTATTTATTTTTAGTAGGAATGCGGATAATGGATACGGGTATGGATACTTACGTACCTATAGGGCACGAGTACGAGTGTTAACTTTTGCTTCGTATGAGCTCGAATACATAGATTTTTTAAAATTCCAGGTATGAGAATGAACACTATAGTACTCTGTCCAAACTCTACCCATTGTCATCCTTAACATTTGTAGTACGACTTACTTTATTTTATATATTACATAATATTATAATAAAAAATTAAAATATTCTTATTTTTTTCATTTATTTACAAATATAAGAATAATTATTGTTTAATAAAAATAAAAGAATTTGTAATTTGATATTTTTAAGAAATAATTATTATTATCAACATATTTTTTTTGAAATATTTGGAACACAGAATATTTATGACATTTTATTTAATTATTTTGTTGGTTATGAATGAACAAATATATTTTGGTGAAGTTTATTGAAAATTGTTTTTATTTAATATTAATATTGTAATATTCTGCCATAAAAACTAAATAAATTTTAAAAATCTCTTCACGCCACTTTGTGAATCAAATAAATAAATATATAAAATTTTCTCACTCCCATATAATCTCTTTACTTCGAACCAAATATATTTTAATTAATATATCTCTTAATTTTCCAGTCTTCTTTTTAGTTGAATCAAATATATTGTTTTATCTTTTATTGTCTGATTTTGCAAAACAATAATAATAGAGAAGTGTTCAAAGTGTTGAAAATTAATCTACCTTGTTTAAGTTATATGGAGGTGCGGAAGAAATACATGTTGGACACGATGTCACATCAGATGGATACGACATATGGCCCTTGTGCATTTATTTATTAAGAAATTTGATAAATAAAGCAAATTCTATTTTACTTAAGGGATTAAATTTGAAAAGATCCCAAGACAAATTGTGTGAAAATCATAGGTTTCAAATGATTTTGACATTAAAGTTGAAAATGAAAGAAACATAAAAGTAACTTTGAAAGCAATAAATGACTTGAAAATAAAGAATTTAATTCGTAAAATGGAACACATACATACATTCTCACAACTCTTTTCTCATCAAACACGGATACTTTGAGTTTACAGAATTTGTGTACAATTGTGGACCTTTAAAACTATAAGTGAACACTACTTATATACCAGCCATATCATAATCATTTATAACGGTTGACTAAGTACATTATGCCACGTCTATATCTCTATGTAATCTTCATTCTCGACAAACTTCCACGTGTTGTCAGATAATTGTCCGATCTTATTCGTTTATGCCTCAATCGACCGTGTGGAATAACAACATTTTGAAAACTCTAAATTTCACTAAATCCCAAAACTAATAAGATCCTTGGTCTTTAACTGATTGGAATCTCGATCAAAGTCAACATCATTTTTTCAACAAGACAACTTCATCGAAATCCGTGGTCATATCTGACCATTTCGACCTAACTAATAAACCCAAATCATCGAACAAATCAAAGAATTTGTCAAATCCTTACAACCAAAGCTTTGTTGAGGTAACAACAACGGGTTATTGTTGTTGCTTTTTGGAAGATTTTCCGGTCAAAGATTAGATCAAATTTTATTGTTAATTGGCTTAGCAATATGATTAGGTGATTCGTTTGACAGTTGGACGAATATTGATTTATATTTAAATAAACGTTAATTTGAATTTAAATTGAAACAGATCATATCTTATAGGACACATTTACGGAACAGATTATATCCAACTCATTCTGCATCAATTTTGGACGAAATTAAAGCTATTATCCAATGAGAAAAGTCCAGAGTTATTATTGTTGTATGTACACCACTATGTTTTAGTAACTTGGCATAATTGGGTTGTCTCGAGTTGAGTGGTAGTATTCAACATTAATTATTGAGTTGTAACCTCCAATTACGGATTGTGTGATTAAGAAGAAAGTGAGTAGGTTCTCATATTTAGGTAGAGTCTTAAATAGAAAGTCGTTGTATAGTGTTAGGAAGAAACATTGAACAACATAGGGTTTGTTGTGGCTTGTAAGATAATTATACTAAACTATTAATAGTGAATTTTCTTTCTTGAGTTGTGGACTCAACCCCCTAGACGTATGTGTGATTTCACCGAACTCGATAAATAATTATCTTGTTACTTACTTTTTTATATTCAATCATCTAGTATTTGCTATTGTGGTGTTTTTGATTTAACTTGTCGAATCAATTGTCTAAAACATCATGTTCGACATATTCCCTAATAAATATAAATTCATATACCCTGAGACAAAATATTTATATTAGAAAATTTTGAAAGAAAACTAATGTGCAAAACTTTTGTGGGCCCTCCACATGATCATTACTTGTCGGTCTTTTTTTCATTTACACTTTATTATGATGTTTATGTTAAAAGATTTTAGTGAGATAATTGAATTTCATATGGGAAATCGAGTTATCTGAGTATGATATCACTTTTATGGCAATGAGTAACATCAAGTTCAAATCCTTGTTGACTTTCTAGTGGAGTTATACTCACTTCTTAGTGAAAAGAATCCTCATACCTAGATCTTGTCTCTAGATGGATCTTCAAATTTGAAGGGGAATGGAACTAGGGTAGGGTAGTATTGGAACGGTCAGCAACTGGAATGAGTTTAGTAAAAGAAATAAAGGTCATGGAACTTCAAGCTCGGAGTAACTCTTAATTGACCACAAACCAAGTGTCGGGTGAGTATCAAACCAAGGAAGCACATTTGATAAATGTTTATAGAAGGTCCAAGAGATGGCCAAAAATTTCAAAAGCTTTGAAGTGGTCGATAAACTTAGAGAGGAAAGTTTTATAGCCAACCTACTCTCAAATCTTTCCAACACCAAAAGGTAGGGTCATAACAACACAGTGATTCGAGAGACCTTACTTGCCTCTAGCATATAAGTTAAAATTGTTCTGGTCATGGAGATGGTGAGTCCATATCTTAAAATCTGAACATACTTGGCATTTTTCTACTCAGTCCATAGACTAAGACCCAGTTAGGCTGTATCAATTCACGATCAAAATTACTATTACTATTACACCTCACATCTTATTGTAGTACACGAGATTGAATTACTACAAACAATTAGGATGCACATTGAGTTAACCTTTTTTATTGGACAAATCGGTTGAATATACCCTGCTGTTACTTTTTAAGGAAAGCTACTCATTTCTTAAAAACAACACCCCTCTAGATTATCAATCTGGACAGAGAAAACCGTTGTTTTGAATAAAAAAGCTTGCTTAGATTAATACTGCATCGATAATCACCTCATATGTTACTACTTTTTTTTAAACAAACAATACTTAAAAATTCACCACCATGTCTAGCAGATCAATAAAGGAAACTCTGTAACAAGTGAAAAGTAAAAATTTGCTAATTCTCCCAAAACATATAGGTGATGAAAACACCAAACAACAGGTTAAACTACTGGAAAGCAGCATCTATTTTACTAATTAATTAATTGATCACAAAACTTTCGATTTTGATAAAAGCAATTGTTTACTTCTGATACAAGTTGCTTCATTTCTAACCAGCCTCTTCCGAAAAGAGCCAACCATTAACTAATCTATTTCTTGGTTTTACAGGTGGTAAGAACCATGGATAAATATCTTATGGAGTGAAACATAATTATTTATATAATTAGACATTATTCTTAGTGGCTCAAGAAATTCAGAGCATTACCCTTTACATGCCAAAAAGAAAGCAATTTGAGTAGCATGGAAGCAACAACACGCTGTCTTCCACAGCAATAGGCTGTCTGAAAGGATTTAATTGAACCTACATAGGAGTACAAAAGATCGTCAAAACTCTTGGTAAATGATCAACAGGATTTATATTTAAAATACAAGACATCATAAATCAAATTAGAAGCTTACAGGTAATCTAAGAGGGCGTCCAGTTACCGTCTTTATGCAACTTGCTGCAAGGTGACAAGCTTCCTCACAATAATCGGTAAAAACAGCTGGGACATCAATCTTTTTAATTAACTCCTGAAAATTTGATCAAGCAAACAAAGAAGGAAATTATGTAAATGTGGCTCATAATTTTTGAACTGAGGGTAGCACAAGACTAAAACTAACTCCTAGACAGAGGATGACCAAAAGATGGGAGACGTACAATACTTGGTAACCAACTGGAATAGGCTGCAATACCACCATTTGGAGCAATAATTAGGTGAGGAAAGGAACCCTGTAAGCGGAACATTAATTACGACAAATTGATGATTTCAGAGAATCTGACAGTCAGAATCAAAACAAGCAAGATTAAGTTAAAATGACAGCAACATACTAAGAACAAGTATTACTAAACATTTGCATCTTAATTCCTTTTTAGATGTTGCAATGGATACCTACAATATCTTTGTATCTGTCGTGATAGAATCCTCGCCAAAGCTGCAATGTCAATGCAGAACTCATACATGTTTGTGTCCCTAGGATCACATTTTCACTTGCTAGTTTGCATACACACTTGGCTTCATTACAACAAGGATACTTAGAAATGCTGATCTTTTCACCATCCCTGTTTACTGGGAGGAAGGAAGGACGAATATTTAGACCAAGTAATGACCTGCATCATATGACAGAACAATGAGAAATGAGCAATGCATCAGACCTTTGAGGGGGAATTGCAGGTCCAACAAGTTCTATATGAATATGAACGCCAGGGAAGAGAGCTTGTAATTCTCCAAACACAGCAAGTTGTAGCAGCTCCTTCTCAGGTCCTTCCATATAAAATTTTACAAAACCAAAGTCATGTGCAGAGAAATCATACAAAATTATTTATTATGAGAATACTTATGCAACTTATGATCAACTAAATGTAATAACACATAAAAATGACAGAAGAACAAAGTTCCATAACTAATCTGGAGTAGCTTGAGGAACTTCAAATATAAACCTTAAACAATAGATAGCAACCGCAAAAACTTAGTTTCCTTTTTAACAAGGAAGGAGAGGGGAGGAAGAGAGAAGACTATCAAATCCAGGGTTTTCAGGTGGGTTGGTCGATAAGTCATTACTTCCAATATGATATTTTTAGTTCGAACATCCAATAAACAAAATAAAATAGTGATAAGATTATAACTGAATAACAAACTCACATCACATGGTAGTAAGTTTTTCTGATAAGCTTCTTTGAAAGTTTACCTGAATAAAAACCCTCTATATGTTCATAATTTCGTGTATGTGTAAAACTAAAACACTACCCCTAGCAAAAGTACAGGGAAAGGACTAAATCAATGTTTAAGGGGAACAAACCACAAAAATACCATTGATGGCACAATTATTAAATCACCCATTTTGCCAAAAGAAAAACTACAGAAGTGCCATTGGAAGGGAAAAGATCTTGAAAGTTGCATCAGCTTGATAACTGGAATAGTTAGACCGATTTGATATAGTGTAGATTGATAGACGAAGATGAAAATATTTTAGAGACTAATTAAGCACTTCTTATATTTGAGATATCTAGTCAAAGAGAATCAATGAAGATGTCATACTAAAGATTCAAAATGCTTAAAGAGAATTTGAAGGTGATGATTTACCAAGGCAATGTATGTACAACTTATCACCGACTTCGAGATTCAAGGTTGTAATTCCAACAAGTTGAGCAGCATGATATATGGTAAGAGGCTGAAATAAATACGAAATTATCATATCATTTTAAAAAGACACATTCATTCTAGCAATACCTAATACAACCAAGGCAGAAAATTTAGTTGCAGATTCATTCCATTGGTAGTAATTAGTGGAAATTTATAATTCACAAGGAGATATCAGACTTCTTGTTTTAGTGACGACAGCTACACATATAAGCAAACAAAACGAGCCAACTTCACACCATCACAATTGCAAATAAGCAAACTGTGATGACAAGTAATGAGACTGCAAAAAAAAATTATACAATCATACCCAGTGAAGAAGCAGGGCAACAGGTGAGTCGAGCCGGATGGATCTCCACTTATAGTAGTCTCTCCAACTATACAACTGCTCTGAAACAAGAGATCCAGGACCTGAAATTTACAATATGTTCAGTTTTGCTCTATTTTGATAACAATATGAGAAACTTTCGAAGCATAAAATTACCACGACAAGGACACAAAACACTTGGAAGGTCCCAGCCATTGTTTAGCCTGCAAAAAGTAAAATTCTAAACCTGAAGTTTGCTCTAAAGTTATAATCAAAGTATCAAACTGTAAAAGTTATAACTTTATAATGATCATTCGGTGAGTTACTCTTCAACACAGACTAGAACTCATCACTCAAATACATAAATCAGATTAAATTCAAATATCAGAATATGCAGGAAATAAGAGGAAACCCTAAGAGATCAAATGAAGAAGATGATGCTCCGCAATGGCATTCACACATCCACATTCCCACTTGATGAAGACCTCTCTTGCTCAAAAATGAACACCTAGTTTCTTGATTTGCACAAACCTGTTGAAATTACAAAAGCATCAATTATATTAAACAAATACAGAAAATCACTTAGGCTTTGTTTGTTAAAAAGAGTATCAAAGAGTGATAATAACTTGAATTATGGCTTCGTGAGAGAAAGTGAAAGGAAAATCATTGAGAACATCAACACTCTCCATCTGTTGCTGTAACCTATCACACTCTGTTTTGTGATGACTCCAATGCGCAATCTAAGGAACAAAAGAAGAAGCAATGAAGCTATGTTAATGGAAACTAGTTGAAATTTATGTAATAATAACCGAAACAAAAGCATGAATTTGAAAATTGATGAGTGAGAAATCGAAGCAAACCCGATGAGAGAGGGAGCAATACGCAACGGCTTCGCAGCGTGCACAGACTGTGGTTGCAGCGCTGCTGCACCGTGTTCCGCTCCCATTCGCCGCGCACTTCATTCTTTTCCGGTCTTTATGTCAGTTCTTTTAAAATGAATTTTATGTTATACTAACATATTTAAAAACAATTTAATTGACGGAATTAGACGTATGAATGAAATGAAATAATGTTATATTGTAGTGTTTGGATGGGTAAAAAGTGGGTAGAATGGAGAAACATGATCTAATGCATTTCACCAATTTTATAATTTACTTTTATTTTTGTTTCATCGATATCTTTTATTATTATCTCCGTCTCATAATTGTCTTATTTAAGTTATGTGTGTTTTTAAAAAAATATTGGATGTGTTGATTTTAAAGATAAAATTGATATTTTTATTTAAATACATTTTTTATTATAGTTAGTGGAATAACTAAAAAATTTAAAAGTTGCTAACCCATGGCCCACAACTATAGCCATATCATCATGCCAACCAATGGCCCACAACTATGGCCTGTTAATGTTGCTAACCCAATCAGCCCTCCAGTCATGCGAAGATCTATCGGTCGTCCTAAGAAGAATCGTAACAAGGCGAATGATGAACCGAGGATAAGAAATACACTGCCTAGAACTCTTCAAACTGTCAAGTGCAAGAAATGTGGGGTTTTGGCCATAACAAACGAACGTGTAAAGGGAAGCGAGCTGCGGAGAGAGCGATTCCTAAAGGTGGCAACAAAAAATCTAAAAAAAATGGTGACAAGTCGGACAAGGAAGCGGAAGAAACTGTTGTAGACGGAGGGTCGCAAGCACCGCCACCAACACAAGAATAGTTCTATGTTTTGCTTTACTTTTTGTGATGCTGCTATAGCATATGATTTGCTTTACTTTTTGTTAAAATATGTTGTCTTTAATGTTGTCGTCAATGTAATGATACATCGGTCTTGAACTTGTGTTGCAAGAGCTAAAACAGAACTTCTGCTGTTATGAAGTGTATACATTCACTATTAATTTTTTGATAACAGATAACTTATGAAGTGTTCTTTACATGGGTTGGTTATATGCATTAAGAGTATATATCAGTAGCTTTATTAAATTCTGTAATTGTTTGTATCAGTTAGCTTCTAAAGCAGAAGAAAAAGATTCCTTTGATGCACAGGAATTTCTCTAGAGGCTTGTGTGGTTCCAATACAAAAATCAATTCGAGTAAAAACAAGGCCAATGAAACAAGGCCAATGAAACAGAAATATTGAGAATGATGGTGAAGATCCAGCTCAACCAATTCGAGTAAAAACAAACTGCCATGTCCAATATTTCAGAAGCTTCAGATTATGATGGTTTAGCCGAACCGAATGAGGCTGCAAAAATCAATTAACAACACTAGTATGAATCAATATACCTAACCTCAATAACAGATTCAAAAAGTCTTGGAAGAAACAAATTAACTGAATCATAACAATTTTCATGCAAACTAATTAATTACATATGCTATAGCATCATAACATCATAACAGCTGCAGTTCATAACATCATAACAAGGGCTTACCAACTTGAAACAAATCTTCTTATGCAGGAAATTTGTTTCTAATTATCTTTCTGCAGAAAATTTGTTATACAAATAATTAACTATCTTTCTGCATAAAATTTGTAATAAACATCATTTGAAGACAATCAAAGTAACTACAACATAACTCTTCATTTGAAATTAGTTCATTTGGAAACCACATAAACATCAAAATAACTAAAACACTTGACATTACATCATTTGAGTACATGTGTTGCAACTAATGCAAACACAATTAAAAAGACAACCATCAAAGATAACCCCACAAAATAATACATAAACCTAATTTTCATCTTCAACAAATCTTCATTTTTCTTGATGTCCTTAATCACATCCATGAGCTCCTCATTCTTGTCTTTCAAAGATCTTATCACATCTTTAGCACGACTGCTCATGTCTTCATCAACCCACTGAAAGTAATTACATCCTTTTTTTCTCATCACCTTAAAATTACCACACCCATGAAATCTTCTTCCAGGATTATCGTATGTCCATGACGTCATCAACAGTGACTCAAGCTCACACCAACATCTATTACCTCTTCTTCTTATACCAGACCCAGACTGGTTTGTTGAGGAAAAAGATAAATTCGTTTCGGACATGTCAGAAGATGAACTGCGGTTTGAAGATGAACTGGATTCTGAAGCGGTTTGAAAATGAAGGTTTGGATTTGAAGCGAGCTGTTTACGTTGTTTGAAGATGAACCGTTGTTTGAAGGTCTGGATTCACCTTTTTCGTTGTTTGAAGATCTGGATTCACCTTGTACGTTAATGTCAAAATGAAATAATGGGTACTAGGTATGAAATAATGTTTATAATTAAATTTTATTTTATTAAATTTGTAAAAATGAAATAATATTTAAGTTAATGACATGGAAATTATATTAAATTAAAAGAAATCATTTTAATTGACATGGAAATGCCACATCAGCATTCAAAGCGCCACCTCATTAAAAACATGACTTAAAGTTACAAGAGGACTAATATTAATCTTGAAACCTAAAAAAGGGACCAAAATCGTGGTTTTTAAAATGGGGAGATCAAAACTCAAAAAAACACAAAATAGGGGGACCAAAATTGCAATTAAGCTAATAATGTTATATTGTAGTGTTTGGATGGGTAAAAAGTGGATAGAATGGAGAAACATGATCTAATGCATTTCACCAATTTTATAATTTACTTTTATTTTTGTTTCATCAATAGCTTTTATTATTATCTCCGTCTCATAATTGTCTTATTTAAGTTATGTGTGATTTTTAAAAAAATATTAGATGTGTTGATTTTAAAGATAAAATTGATATTTTTATTTAAATACATTTTTTATTATAGTTAGTGGAATAACTAAAAAATTTAAAAGTTAATGAATAGGGATATAGTAGTAAAAAAATAATAATATTGTATTTATATTTTAAAGAGACATTTGTTTTGAAACATAAAAAAATACAAATGAAATACTTTTTATGAGACAGAAATAATATATTATATTATAAATATTCAAATAATATATATAATGAGATATTCATTCCACTCCGTTACATTCCGTTATAGCTCATATTTAAAGTTTTTTACTAAAATAATCAAATTTTTTAAAACAAATTATCCCCATAACTAATTTCTTTTCACTATTTCTTAAAGTATTATATTTCAAATTAAAAAAATTGACAATATTATATACATGCCAAATAAATTGCACATGCATTTATAATTTAAAAGATGTCGTCAATTGAATTGACGATTACACATGATATAGTCAATTCAATTGAAACTTGTGTCTAAATATGTGTTTGATTCGGAGTAGATGAATGAGAGAGGAAAGGAGATTTTTAGTTATATATATTTAGTTCAAATTTTAAGAGAGAAAATGACAAAGAAGGAGAACAAAACCTTTTTAAGAATACATTTTTTCTGTCTCTCCAAAATTGGAGGATTTGTAAGAGAGGTTAATGAATATAAATTTTTTATTTTAAAAATTATTATATTTACTAAAATATCTTTAGTTTAATTTTAGTATTTTAAAATTATTAATTTTCTTTTTTGTTATTATTTTACTTTTGTGTGGTTTTTTCTCGGTTGCTTTCATAAACTTATTATAATTGTTCTCCACATTCGTATTATTTTTGAGTTTTTAAAATTATAGTCATTGCACTGGTTTTTTTAAATGATTTTTTTATGTTTTCTTATGTTTTTTTTATTCTTTTAATTTTGTTATGTTTTCTATTATATTTTTTTATATCAAATTTTAAACCACTCATTTATTTATTTTATTAAAAAATTTAAATCATTTATATTTAATAATAAGTTATTTTATATATTTTTTTAGATGATTCGTTACGATTTAAAAATTATTATCAACAAATACTTTAATTTGTATTAGAGCGTTACAATCCAAATCTAGTATATTCAACTTTTTTTTAACATTACTTGGTATGTTATAACTTTTTAATCACTCAATATTAAAAAATTTATTACCAAAAAGATATGTATGAATTTTTCACCTTTGAATATCATGTCACTTATATAAGAACATAAGGATAAAAATGTAAAAATTAAATTTTCTCCATCCTCTTCTGAACTAAACACACTTTTAATTAAAATTTCTCTCTTCCATTCCACTCTCCTCTTTTGAACCAAACATATATAGAATTAAAAAATAAAAAATAAAAAATAAAAAATAAACCTGTCTCATCCCTCTCATTCTATTCCTTCCACTAAAATCAATTTCATCTCATTCCCCTCATTTGAACCAAACAGACCCTAAAAGTTAAAAGGAGACGTCAATTCATCTAGCGTATAAGTATAATTTTTTTAATTAAAACAACAAGTTATATAAAAAGAATGAATAAAAAATATTAATATTTAATTTAAATATGATTATATATGATAATATTTTTAACACTAATAACCATGACCGACTTGGTCATACATGTCACTTGTTCCACACTCCTAGGTACTCTTTGTCGTAATGGTCTCAGTTGATTCACCCCAAATGTTTGGAACGAGGTCCCTAAAACATCACCATGACTAGATTCTCTAATATGTTCTTGTAATTCTACAAAGTTTTGTGTATGCATTGACGATATTGACGTTTTATCGTAACTGAGTTTGTGGCTCATGTCGGTGTAATTGGGTTGTGTTGATGGGTTTTTTAGTGAGAGGTCTGATTGATTGAATATCAATATTATTGTGAATGATTCGTTGCATGTTTTGGTGTTTGTGCGTTTTGGCTATGGTAGGAGAAAGGGTTGGTGTTATATGTTTCTTAGATGTTTTGGTTATGGTAGAATGATGTATTAGGGGCATATGGTTGTTGGGTGTTTTCATAATAACCATGTTGTTATTGGTGGTGGTATAGGGTATGCTTTCGGTTTTGTAGTTGAGTGTGTATTGATTATGGGTTTTAGTGTTTGTGGGTCATAATTTTTTTAGGTAGGGGTTGGGTGTAAGTTGTCTAGTAATTTTGTTGGAATTAGATGTTGAAGCTTCTTGTGCGTAAGTGGTTTGGCGTGGGTCGTATAAATACC